TGAAGAATTTTCAATTAGCAGATTCCTGATGTTTTGAAGAACTATGGTTTCTTCTTGGAAAGATTAAAAGAATCTGCATGTCATTTATTAGGCTTCCGTGCCCAAAGGGTAAAACGGGACCCTATTACTAAGTCTCCGCTGTCTGTCTATCTGACTGTCTGTCCGTCTGTCACCAGGCTGTATCTCATGAACCATGCTAGTTAGACAGTTTAAATGTTCACAGATGATGTATTTCTGTTTTCGCTATAACAACAAATACTCAACAGAATAAAAGATTTAAGTGGGGCTCCTATACAATAGACATAATTTTTTTTTCCGTATTTATAGATAATGGTGTCCCTTCGTGCGGGATGCCGTCTCGCACTAGGGCGGTTTTTTGTTTCCGCCATGAAACTATAGTTTACTAACATAGAACGTGAGGTTTTTCTGTAATCTGTATGAACATGTGGAAAAATAAAATAATAGAATAGGTATTGTGAGGTGGAGTATGCTCAGTCAACGGGGTTACATTTTGGGCAGGGGTCGTTTTGAATATAATTTGCATGACTGTAACAATAACTGCACAAGCTTTGTTGTGGTATATTATAGATTTACATGTCCTTTGTAGACAGTAGTTCTGGACATTGAAATAAGTGATCCGTGCCAAACCCGATCGAAGGCTTTCACCACGAATTACCAAACGAATCGCCAATGCCTCTACGGACTCTGACGGAACTCGTACTGACGATCACTAATCAGCTGGTGCTCTTCAAGATACCTAGAAGCTGACAGTTAATAATGGACTCCATTGTTTTCGAGAAGCCAATATGCTTGAAGTTGAATTGATCCGAGAGTGTATATTTGTGGAATTCTTTGCCCCTTTATTTTCGACAAGCTAAGTCTTGTCTTTCTTTTAAAAACTTAGTAAAAGCTCATTACTTGGAACTGTGAGCTCATACTTTCCTTTTTTACTTTTTTCTATTTTTCCCGAAATCTTTGACTATTTCATTGATGTATAAATGCCTACATCCGATGTTTATAAGTGATTCATTCGCAATGTTTGTCTCGAAGAAATCGCTTTCTGAGCGATAAGAACGCCTATTGTACTTTTACATTCGTTTGTAATTTGCTTCTATATTTTTTTTTTGTTGTACAATAAATAATAAATAAATAAATAAATAGATCCAAGCGTGTGTATATATACCCCATATTATCAAGTGTCGAGTTAGATGATACTCATATGGCTTATTCTTTTTCGGTGTGGGCCAACGAGCCATTATCGTTTTGCTGGTATGGTAAAGATGGTATAACAGAAAAGGTCTTGATCTGATTTCGCTCATTTGGTATCCAGAATGCTGAAAGAAGATGAACTAATCTCTCACCGATTTTGACCTTGCTGGTGTGACGACTAAATAGAAAGAACTTGATGCAAAATTGTACTTCTTTTTGAGGTGACCGTTATTTACACTCCGAGTCACCGCCGCCATAATGGTCCAGGCCCGACAACACATCATTTTTATGTGATAAAATATGTTAACAACAGAGAAACAACTTTTGTTACCGGCATATACCGACTTGTGTGTTATTTTATCGAAGGCCTGTACTGTTCTGTAAAATACAATTTGAAAACGTTAGAAGTAGTTTAATTTGAAGTAATTTAATATCACGTCGGTCTTTCAAAGGACGGCTTAAATGCTGTTATATTTACTACATTTTCTTTTCCTTTGAAGTTTCTCCTCTGCTGTATAAAGAAAATTCAACGTCTGTGGAGTATATTGGAATTGAAGATTTATTTAATAAAGGAACATAAATACTTGTCCTATTCTTTAAAACCAATTAGTAAAAGACATTTATTTTAAAGCACTGTTATTTTTGTAACCTAGGCTTTTTTTTAAATATTTTGATCGTAAATTAAATATAAATTTATTTATTTAATAAAGCGTTTGAGCTTAGAAGGCATGCTTGCTTGCTCTAAATTTGCTAATTCTTACGTCATGAAGAATTTTGTTATCCCACTTCCAGTAAAAGTCTTCTAAGACTGGTCTTCTAAATAAAGGGGAGGGAAAGAATATTATAAATATGAGTCTTATAATATATAATAAATATGAGTCTTAGTAACTTGAAAGAAATAATAACAATAATATTATCTAAGTTTTTTTTTAATATGTGTTAATCGCTGAGGTACTTGACGAATGGTAATAGATGGATAAAGTTTAAAAAGGGCTCACGAAGTTAGTTGGTTTACAAAAATGTTGAGGGTCGTCATTTTAATATTGTTTTCTCGTCTAGTGTGTCTTGACGTAGCAATACGTCACCAACTATATCTAATGGGATCTTACTTAACACGTTCGCATTCGTAAAGAATATGTTGAAATTTTAACCGTCTGTAAAAATCCCTCCTGCCTCTAAGAATACACAAGCAGTATACACCAAGTTGCACCTCTCCCTTGTCTGAGTAGTCGGAAACGTGCCTGTTTCAGTTAAGTGACGTCATTAGTACACTTTGAGAGCAAGTTGAATCCCAAGTGCGCGTCTGTAATGATGCGTATTCCTCACTACCTTACGATGCAAAAAAGTGTTACATGTAACGCTTTTAGTTAAATATGTTTTAAGTGTTAATGTAAAGCTGAGTTAACAATTTACACTCTGATCGCTGATTAAAGTTTGAAGTTTTACGATTGGTTGCATATAGTGTCATACCATAAAGCTGGCTTTGGAGATCTGATAGTCTCATGACAATGTAAAGTGCCAATGTCGAATCAATAACAAATGAAAGGCGATAAATTTCGAATTCTCGAAAATACGTGTCCACCGATGACCAATATTCTGAATCCTTTTAAAGCCCAACTTCAAAACTTAAACTAAGCCCCGCCTACCTCACTTAGCAGATGAAACGCAGAAGTAATTACACTTCACGCCTGTCCTCTGTGAGGTCGTGGTATTTACCCGGACGGATCTGCTCATTCGTGCAACAGCGAAGACTTGCGTGGCCCCGCCACCGTAAAATTACTTTACTTCCTGATAACAGTTTAACTCACCTAAACTACGTTAAGTTAGACTGTACCTGTGGTTTTTATTTAGCATTTGAAGCAACGCTTGGCGCATCCAATGTAGATAAAGGACGTTAAGATTTTCGTCGGTGTGGCAATCAGCCGTTTAGCTTAGTGGCTAAAGCGTCAGGCCGCGAATGCCGAAGACGTGGCTTCGATTCCCACAGCGGCGACAATCTTTTCGTACTTCTTCTACAACTTTTAATGTTTAATCTTAACTGCAGAGATTAACACTATTAGTAAAATTTAGTTACTCTTTTTCTGGTGTAATGTATTAAAATATGGTAATATTTATATCAACTATCAGCACTTATTGACTGAAATAAATTCACTGTCAGATTTCTTTATTAACCTGGACACTTGAAACATAAATTATCCCTTATCATATCGTTCAATATAATAAAAAAGAAACATTCCACGTATAACTAATCGCACGCAAAGGAAATTGGATCATTCAAGAAAAGGCAAGGTGACAGTATTATTACATTTATTGTGATGAATCAGGGCTTAGACTGTAGGCTGAGACTACCAAATTCATCGATATCAAAAATATCGATAAATCGAAATTCTATACATGCTATTTTTAAGAACAGAAATAATTGTTTATTGATTCATGTAAGTGGCTGTGAAATAAATAAATTAATATAAAATTTTATAATTGTATTAATTTAGACTTAAAATTTAGTCGTGTGTGTAATAGAGTATTTAATGATTTCAAGTACCCGGAGGACCGAGCTTTGCTCGGTTGGTTTTTTTTTTGGTAAATCGTGTATTTTGGATATTACATTTAGATACAAATTACTGAGTAATGAAATATGCATAATATTTTTCGATCTTACCGACTTAATAATAAGAAAATATGAACTGATGTTTTTCTCAAAAGAAAGAACTTTAAAAAAAAGGGAAAAAACTAACAAAAAAACAAATCGACAAAAAATTAAAAATAAATAAAGAAGTCGAAAAAAAAAGTAAAAAAATAAACGTTTAAATGATCGTGACGCGAACCACGGCCGTCTGTTTTGGGGCCGCCCGATTACCGACCGAGCTATTTTAAATTTACCATCATATTCGAATTATATTTTCCATTCCCTGAAAACAGGGATAAAAGGACATTTTCTAAAAATGAAACCTAGCTAGATTGATTTTTCGCCCCCGAATCTACGCACATACTAAAATTTCATGAAAATCGCTGGAGCCGTTTCCGAGATTATATATATATATATATATATATATACAAGAATTGCTCTTTTAAAGGATAAGATTAGGTATTGCATCCTTGTTTAAACGGGAGATCAAATATTAAAAAAAAAACTGCTACTTACGAGTCGAACTCATGCACGAAGGGGTCCGTACCATCCAAATTATTAATATTATAAATGCGAAAGTAACTCTGTCTGTCTGTCTCGCTTTCACGCTAAAACTACTTAACCGATTTAAATGATTGGTACACAGATACTCTAGAGTCTTGAAAATATCTTTCTTTAAAAAATGTATATTTTTTTTAAGAAATTTATTTATTTGAGAGCATCAACGCGAGCGAAGCCGCGGGCGAAAAGCTAGTTATCTATAAATACGGGAATAATGTCTGTTGTATAGGATTCCTATTTCAATATTTTTTAAATTGTTTTTTAAGTATTTATTGTTATAGTGGCAACAGAAATACATCATTTGTGAACATTTCAACTGTCTAACTATCACGCTTCATGAGATAAAGCCTGGTGATAGACGGACGGACGGACAGGTTATGTCAGTCTCCAATTGAATAACTCCTTCGTAGTAGTAGGGAGAGATACAGTGAACTCTTATACTTGCTTGTAAGGCGCTAGTGATGTACGAGTTCTGTGTTCCCATGGTTCGTGTTCTCTGTTCTCTCTTTTTCTCGGATCCCACTAATATCACTATCATGGAGTATCACTATCACGCGTGATAACAACAATAGGAATCCTAAACGAATTAGCCACTCCATTTCCCATGCAGGATGCACTGCAAACGTTTGTGCCACGGTATCCTAGTATTGGTCGCTTCTCGACCTACGGCCTACGACTACGAACTTATGCCACGTCGTACGGCAGCGGTCTAGGCATACGTGCTACATCTGCGGCCTACGGCTGCGGCCTACAGCTGCGGCCTACGGCTGCTGCCTACGGCTCTACGGCATGCACAGATACAGTGATGAAAAAATCCGTTCCTTTAAAACCAACCCAGACTGAGTTAAACAGCCTCTGCAGTTCACACAGAGCAAGAAATAGAGAATCGCATTGGAAACTGTTTGAGAGAAACCCCCGGGAATGAGTTGATCGCTCCCAAGCTATTTCTAAAAGAGGATACCTATGAAGTTTTTTCTCCGCTAGAGGAACCTCATTACGAAACGGTGGTAGATAAAAGAAATATGACTATCGATAGATGAAATGTAAGTTTGATTTTGATTTTTGAGGGGTTATGTTGAGGGATCACACATTTATGATGATAATAGTCTAGTGATAATACATGAGTTTTGATAGTAGCTAAATAATAATAAATATTATAAATTATTAACATTAACTCAAAGTTTAAAGCCGGCGATAACGAGTAGGAGAGTAAATGAAAATGAAATATAATTATAAAAATACATTTCATTTACGTAAATAGATACTCTTTAGTTTTTTTCTATATGTCTCTATATTTAATCGTCTCTACATCAAAATTTTTAAAATCGCTGTTAATGTGGTAAAATTATTTATTGATTGATTTTAACTTCGTGTAGGACCAATAAACACAAAAAGGTGACACAAAGGTGAACCACACAACTTAAACTTACTTCGGGGAAAAAACCTTTTCGTGTTGTCAGGTCGTGAAACTTCCGAGAGTAATTTGAAAGTTTTCTCCGAGTAAATAATAAGGTTAAAAAGTTTTCCTCGCCGCTGTGAAAACAGAGACGGTTGGAGAAAACAAACAAGGCTCTATAACTGTATAGGGATTATAGTCGTTAGATTGTTTCAAATTTTTTATTGGAGATGTATTGAGCTGTGGGAACGGAGATTTAATTTAATCATATATTTCATACTCGTATACTCTTATTTGACCAATTTGGGTCCGTTTTTGGGATTCGTACGGAAAGGGGAAAACAGGACCCTTTTACTAAGACTCCACTGTCTGTCTGTCCGTCTGTCACCATTCTATATCCCATGAAACGTGACAGTAATGCAGTTGAAAATTTCACAGGTGACGTATTTCTTAACAGCAAATACTAAAAAACGGTTTAAAAATATTTACGTGGGTATTCCATACAACAGATATGATATTTTATTGCCGTTTTTATGTACTTGGCCAGTTTCGACTCGCACTTGGCCGATTTATTTTAGTCTTGACGCTTTCGTCACTTTCGTCAATGAACTTTCCATCGCTATACCAGTGTATGCCACAACCAAATAGAAAGACCTTCTGACAAGCAAGTCAGAAGTCAGAATTCTGAAGAACAGAACAACTATATAGCGAAGGAAATCTAATTGTAGCGAAAAGCAATATCTTGCACTCTCAAGTCTTTATGTTATAATATTAAGATGCTAAAAATTTAACAGAACAACACTATTTATTAAAAAAACATGGTTGTCCAATACAACGTGATGTTATGTCATAGATCCTTAAGTACCGAATGTTCTTTGGTCTAAAAGAACGTTCAAATATTTGTATTACTGCTTATAGCGTTTAGATTAACAAACAATATCCAGAGAAAATTAATTCAATATACTCGAGCAACCTTAGTTCGATACCCTGTGTCGGCACCAATGAAGTTTTTAACTTTAAGTTCTGACTTATCACGTGCTCCGCGGTGAAGGAAAACATCGTGAGGAAACCTGCATATTTTAGAAATAATAACAAAAAACAAATAATTTTCGAAGATATGTGAAGTCCGCCAATCCTTTGCCCAGCAGTTGGACAAGTATAGGCTGTTACCTAACTTTACTTACTTTATCCAAAGAAATTACAGAATAAAAAAGATTAAGAAGTAAAAACATCAATCAGATAACACTCGTATTAAAACATAAAATATCTAATCAAATAAACTTACAAGAGAAATGTAGATACACCTGTATTAACTATTCGGCATTTGTCTAAGATGTAATTAAGAAACTTAACGGTAATAATAACTTTTGCTTTAAAGGATTAGTTTCAATTTCTTTTTAAAATGGAAAATACTTATGTCCCATATATTGCTTGGTATCTTACTATAAATTCGAGCCATACAAAATACGCTATTGCGTATACATGCTGCTCTTCCCCTGCGGGTAACCGGAGGGACACTTCAAGGGGAGCCGCCCCCCCTCCCCTGAGAAGTCCCTCCGGTTCCGTAGAGCAACATTTGATAAGGGTGGAAATATGTTGGTTGTCTGTGGTTTATTTTTATAAATAGAGCAGTTTGAAATATATATAAACGTAATAAAATTATGACGGTTTTTAGTTTATCCGGATACACGCCTTGCCTTATAATTAGAATAAATATATAACTTATATGTGTACAAATTATTATCTTTTCCCACAGATTTGTCAATTTAAGTAATACTATTATTAGGGGTATGGTTGAACAATTATGAGTCCTAGTTGATGACACAACGTGACATGTTGTAGTAAACTCTACGCCGCTCTCGTGTCCGATTTCAGTGTGCAAGTTTAATTGACGCGAACAGTTACCGTCAAAGAGTATCGTGAAGTTGAGAGTTACGCTGACTGCCTGCTGTTGGCAAACTTTAGAAATGGATTTCACCATCTCCCATTTGCGCTGAAATAGAAATATTTTTGTACCCAAAACCATTTATTAATAACGATTCTAACGGTACAAATATGGATGCAGGTCGTTTCTCTCATAAAAAAAATATCAGGTGCGCGTTAGAAGTGGAAACTGCTTAGCTTCACAAACTTGTGAACATTATTTATAACTAGTTGAGAAATACTTTAGGAAGTATTTTTAAATAGGAATTATCTGTATCAACGTTTAATTTTAGAAGGTAGCAAATGAGCTGGCCGTTCACCTGATGTTAAGTGATAACCGCCACCCATTGATATTTGCAACATACGTAGGGTTGCAGACGCGTTACCACCTTTTGGTGAAGTGGGCCAGGGCTACCTCACGACTCGCAGAAGTATAAAACTTCCATTTTACGCCGGTCTTCTGTTATTATTACAATTTAAACAAAAATACCTGTTTTAAATACGACAATACAAAGAGGGATTGTTTTTGTTTCAGGGGATGTCTTTGGCGCTCGAGACACTGCCGTGAGACTTTGTAAGTGAAATCTCAAATTATGTATATCTTTAATGATATGTTTCAAACCATGCATATGAGCGAAAACTTATTATCTAATTAACATTACTATATTTACTGTTTACATATTCATTATGCTCACCATACATTAGGATTCACAAGCACCTATATGGGAATATGTAATGTATGTATGACCTAAAATCAGAATGGATTTTATTAATACTAAACTGAAATAATACTGCCGGCAGTTTATTTTAATATTATATATAATACGCCGACCCTTCTTTCCATGGGCTATAATCTATTTAATTATAAGTATTCTCTTATAATGATGACTCAGTGGCGCGGTTTCCAAGGTATTTGCTTCGGCGTCGGGGGTCGTGGGTTCGATTCCCACACGGGACAACTATTTGTGCGACCCACATATAGTTGTTTCGCATCTGGGTGTTTGTCCTCGTGCAAATTATGTTTGTAAAACGTCCTTACAACACAGGATAATGTTATCCTAAAGTGAGGTGAATGTTTTATAAAAAAAAAATGAGAGAACCAATATTTTTAGATCAAGTAAAATCAAAAACCTGACTATTATGGGATGTCGCACTATATTGGAAATCGTAAAGAACTAATCCCCATAGGACAGGCGTTGCCTTGTGTGGTGATCAGAAAGAAATTAAAATGTAATTAGGCTTCTTCAGAATAAAGTTATTATTATTTATTTTTTATGTACCTGTGAGCTTTTCTTATTTATCTGTAAAAGTGTAAAAAATTGAAGCTTATAATCACCAACCGGTACGAAACCATAGCCGGTCTCCTAAATAAATTTTAAAGTGTTCTTAATTATAGAAATATATCAACAAAATGTTCTACTGACCATATAATAGCGGGGAACGAGCGCAGCATATATTTCATTACACTGCGTACAAAGCTGGGGATTTCGCGAAACACCTGGGACGAAATTGGCGGGGAGCGGTTTCGAGGAAAGTTTGCACTATTTCGAGCAAACGTAATAATGACCGCATGGCGCATTTTGCGATGCTGCGCCGTGTAAGTGACTTAGCGCTTCCAGGGAACACGGCTCTTTGTTGTTTTTAAACGGTTTTATTTAGCTCGACCCGTACGGAATTTGTTTGTTTGGGTCAAAATTAGAAATTGAAATTTAAGCACCTTGCCGTTGTCAGATTGATCTGAAATTTGCTACACACATTTAATTTAGATGACAATACAATATTAACAAAAAAAAAAAATAACAAAAAAAACATAAAATAAAACCGTTTAACTAAAAAGTTTTTAAACGGTTTTATGTTAGAGTTACAATTGCGAATGCTACTGCGCATTTCATATACACGTGAATAGGATAAAGACGCTTTAAATATTGCAGTGCAAATTATTCTATAACAAATGTATTAAAAATGGATATGAGTAAGTTTTGCATATACTGTTTGACTATAATACTCTCATCATTTATTGAATAGTGACTCAATTACTCTTACTAAAGTACATAATATATGTTATAGGTGTGTATAATATTATGCACCATATCCTTTATTGGAGGTTATAAGTTCAAATACCGGCGTAATGTACCGTGAGTCGCACCAAGTATACTTGAAAAGGAGTTTTATCTTTTCAAGTATACATCAGCAGTGAGTAAATTCATAGTGAGTACCTATGCAATATCAAAATAGAATCACCTCCAAATTTCAGAATAGATTGACAAGGTTTTATATCCGAACATTTTATCAGCAGACTATTAGATTTTTCGTTTATTTAAAGGTCTCAAAATATTTTATCAAAGAACTATTCTTTCATTTTATTAAAGGTTTATTAATATTGCGTCTTGAGGTACTAAGCTTGGTTGGGTGTCATTGATTGAGTTTTTCCGAATCCAAAAACAATGCAAACATATTTTTTTAAAGGTACATAACTATTCATTTATATTTTAAAAAGATATTTTTGTTCAAAATAATATTTTTTAATTGTTTTTCAATTTTGTTAAAAACTCCGTCATTTATGCAAATGAACGTATTTTGAATTAAAAACCCAAAATAAAAAT